ATATATATGGTATTGTGTAGGTATATGTGTACCTTTTCTATACACGAATAAACCAATTCCCAATTCTTGGAATTGACCAACGCACATACCTTGGGATACTATATAGACATAGATATGTGTATTTAGCCTGCAAATCATGGTGTAGGCTAGCAATCAACTGTGTCCAACATGCAATACAATACCTATATGGCCATATATATAACACACTTTGACAAGGTTTTGTATACCGCTGTTCGCTATATATAAAATACTGCCCTTCCCAACATACTCAGCAGGATGGAATGTCTCTGCGAACTGCACTATGCCTTGACATAACCCTATATTAGTTAATTGATCAGACAAAGCCGTTGTCGCTGGGTAGTAAAACAGTATCTTCTCATGCTCGGAGTCCTCATGGGGTCCAAACTTTTCATTAAACAGGAAGAAATTGTTGATGATTCGCTCTTGCTTCTCGCCTGCCATTATGTACACTCACGTACTTTTTCAACGAAAGGCCAGTAGTTGCTTAAAAATGCCTGACAAAATAGAGTACTTATGCACGCTATCTGATAATGTGGTAATCCGGGTGACCTTAACAGAGTTCAGAATATATTTAAATAGCCCTATCATGCATTCCTGGATGTACACCCTTGGTCATTGCAGGAGGCCGGTGAAGGACACCATTGGCAGAAGACCAACTCAATCAAAGCTGTGAAACTTGAGAAGTCTCAAACTACTTCGCTGCAGTTACATGTGCGCTATGATGCGCTCTTCTATTATTAATTGCTACTATAAACTACTGCAATAATGGTACAAATACCATTGCAAATAGCAATAAGTATATTAAATATATGTATTGCTATAAATATACATAAATTGTTAGCATAGCCTCCTGGTTGAATTTTTAGTACAGACTTTTTTAGTACAGACTACAGACTCACAGAGACCACACTCTAAAATACGAACAGATTCGTTTGGTTTTGTGATTTGTCGTCAACTCGTCATTGTTTACACAATGTAGCCGCCATTGTCGGGCATTGCCCATATAAGGATACTTTTCTATACGTAAGGCTATAGCCTGAAGCAAGAGACCTACTAAAGAACACTTTAGGATCGCTTGGCCTGCAGAGTCCAATTGTCCACTTACAGTCTTTACACTGCGTATTTTAAAGTACAACACTTTTAGGATCTCTTGGCCTACAGCCTACAGTATTACAGTCCTATTGTCCACTTACAGTCCTTACACTGAGTATTTTAAAGTACAACACTTTTAGGATCTCTTGGCCTACAGCCTACAGTATTACAGTCCTATTGTCCACTTACAGTCCTTACACTGAGTATTTTAAAGTACAACACTTTTAGGATCTCTTGGCCTACAGCCTACAGTATTACAGTCCTATTGTCCACTTACAGTCCTTACACTGAGTATTTTAACGATGTGTGGCCTACGGCCTGACAAATTACAAGGAGACACGGATTATTTATCAAGTTATCAAGTTGTCAGTGAGTAGCATACATAAGTTGTCAGTAGCATACATAGCTTACCAGTAGCATATGTACGTGCCATCAGTATACATACGTCAGCAACATACACACGTTGTCAATGGTATACATAAGTTGTCAGTGGCGTCATGGGGATTGTGCGTTTAGGAGCGAATGCAGAGTTTTATGTCTATTAGGCAACATATTGTTTTGTTTGACCTATTCGAATAGCACATATTTTCTGTTCTGAAACACAAAATATCGTTATACTTGAACTGTTCAACCGTACATTGTATTGTTCTGCCATGCAATGTATCGTCCTGTTCGGCCCATCTAAACACGTATTCGTTCTGTCCTGTAGTGAACCTGTGTAGAAGAGGGAAGTGTATTTATATAGCTGCTGCTGTCTGCAACGCTGATACAGCCCTTTTTTCTTCTTCTTAAATGTGTGTTTAAGACTACAAGTGCACGTAATTCTGAAGATGGCAACTTCAAAGCTTTCAAAATAACCCCGAGTAGCCAGTAGATCTTTGTTGTCGTAGTACCTGTATATACTAAAGAACTCTAAGGTGGTAACTTCGATGAGTACACTTTAAGGCTCTTAAAGTAAACCAATCAGCCAGTAGATATGTATTTGACGTAGTACGTTTATAAATTGAAGCTGTGAGGCGATAGCTTTCGGCTGGTGCGTGGAATAATTCTGGGGGTGGTTTTCACATGCGGATATTCACTCTTTCGTGGGCAGTCGAAGGTGCAGGCTTAAGTGTTGACTAGAGTGATACTAAATGCTACAAATAGTTCGTTGCTATGCCGCGGGACAGCCGTTCTCAAATGAACATATCTTTATAATGATGTATACTACATGTACTGAGATTTCAGACTGGATATAACTTGCTTAACCGCCGTGTAATCCCAGGTTTGTAATCGGTTCTGCAGCAGGAATCGTGGGTCGCCGGTCGCTACGTCCTTCGCCTTCTCGCCACTGTCCAATCACGCGGATATAAATCATAGTAAGTAAGCAGGCGCAATCGAATATTGTGTGGCAACTTTGCAATATATACCTCAATCACCCTTAACCCTATCCAAAAAAAAACCCCAGCATCGATATTATAGTAGCTCGCGATCTAAAACTGTACGTACCTGTTACTTTTCATGTCTATGTCTGCGCCAGCTTCAAGTAAGTAGCGCATCGCTTTTGTGTGTCCGTTAATTGCTGCCGTGTGAAGCGGTGTGAGACCCTGTGACAGCAACAAGAGGATCAATGCACATTTCATGCGCTCTTATGCTCGGTAATTATTCAATCACAAAGAATTAATGTGCAAAAGTTGTGTGCGAGGGCTGCCGATGCCTATAATGCCGACAACTAGCATATACGGCTTTTGTCATGTCGGTGGGACTTACTCCGTGTGATTGTGCGTTCGGATTTGCACCAGTGGCCAACAGGTCTTTGATCGATTTGCAGTTGTTGTTTTTAGCAGCCCAGTGTAGCAGCGTATATCCCCTGCGATATAAAAATGGTAGGGCATGTGTATCCGGTGAGAAATCAAAGGACAATTTCCACCAACTATCGCACCAAGCACATGTATAGTAGCATACTGATCACAGATCAAATCTGTTTAATTGATTCGACATTGAAGCACGATTTGAAGTATACGGAACGGCTTACCAGAAAAAATCACGTCGTTGCGACAAATTGGCGTCCTCGAACAGCATGCGACGAAGAGCTTTTGGATCATTCTTTGCTGCATTTATCTCCGCCTGAAATCAGAACGGCATTCACAAAACTATTAGCTGAATCACCTACCATGTGCCGATGTCATTCATGTATACACTGAAACACTACTTGGTGCTAGATTTTGCATTGAAACAACGGAGTGCAATCGAAAGGCCTGATAGCTAGAATGATAATGTTGTGCGAGTCGAATCACTGTGTATAAATAAACAGCTGCCACGTGCATACATGACTGTTCAATGCTCATCCACAATGAACCTCTGAGCGAAAGCAAGACTTTATGGGTATCAACATCATTTTCCTACTGCTGAAGATATAGCAGCTGTCACTGTCTCGATTGGACTTACCGCAAGCAACATATTCACATCCATTTTCTTCCTTAACCTCTCTTCTTGTCTGACATTTTTATCTTGTTGCACCTCAGACACATCGCTTGTGATGGAATCTGGAAACCTTTCCTTCTTTACATTGTCTATAACAGTCAAAGCGTCGTCCAAGACGACTTTGAACATTTCTCGGTTAAGTGACCCTAAGATAGAGTGAGAGAATCTAATTAGAATGCAACAGTGATTTGGGAGTGTAGGTTTTCCGAGGGTGTACATGAAGACATCGGAGACAGATCATCGCACTCGTGTATTGAACTGCACTAGTATTTACTAGAAGACATCGACAATCTCATAGCACTTAGCTGCAAGCCTCACTATTAAAATAGTGGATTTATAACTTGTTGCACCTCAGACTCGTCGTTTGTGATAGAATCCGGAAATATTCCCTTCTTTACCTTGTCTATTGTTTATGAGAGTCAAGGTATCGTCCAAGACGACTTAATATATTTCTCGGTTAAGTAACTCTTTGATAGAGTGAGGAAAAGCTAATCAAAACGCTAGAGTGATCTGGGATCATAATTTTTCAGAGACCGTACATTAAGACGTCAGAGACAGTGTGTCGCACTCGTATTTCAATTGCAATAGTATTTACTATAGATATATAGAACCTTGCACCGCATAGCTGCAAACCTCACTACTGAAATAATCAAATTGCAAAGTGCTGAGCGACTCACCAAAAGATGTCATACGAGTATGAGCTGAATGAATTAGGAACTATGATACAAAACAGATTGCGCAACTCGTGCATAGCCAGCACAGAGGACAGTAGACATCTCACATATACTAAATAACAAACAATGAGCGCAAACACTCTGAAGTAAACAACGACAAGTATCACAACCAGACGCGTCCCATACAAGCACTATGAATGAATGATAACTCAGCTCAGAATTGCATTTCCAATGAGCAAAAAAAAACTAGCTATATCAACACTTGGACAAAGGAAGAATATAACTGCAAACAGAACGTCAAAATGTCACAAATATACAAATACTT